ACTTTCAAAACCCTAAGGCTTTTCTATTAGAGTATATGGAGAAAAACTAATCTGTAAGAATGATAGAACAGATGATGCAGAACAAAAGTTACGGTTTAGATTTTTTAGTTGAATAAAAAAGTTTTGAGTTTTAGGGATTTGAAAAGTAACAGTTTTCTTATGTTTTCTTAAATTTCCTTATGAAAAATAGAAATTTTCGGACATGCCAGTTGTATAACTTTCGCATGTAACAATCCATTATCCAATAATGCATGTAGTTTTCATGAGCATTCTCTATTATTTCACTATGCCTTAAATCACATAGAAGAATTTCCGAAGATGCATGATATGAATTATAAACAAATTAATTCAATCAACTTTCGAAACCAGAAATTCAAGTATATGCTGTTCAATTAATATTAAAATCAAATTTTACTTTATTCGAAATTTGAAGTGTCTGAAATAAAATTTGATCAATGAAAACCACAAATCCTTATTGTGATTTCAGAGCATTTTATTGGGCGAATGTCATGTGATTATTAATGATTTGCAGAACGAAAATTTCAGATTGTTTGGTCTTTAGATGAAATGCACCATACCAAGACAAGTACTATAATTGAGTTGCAATTGTATTTTAAAGCAATATTGTATTTAATATACAATTTAATATAGAAAACATGATGCAAGTCACAAAAACACAAAAACAAGCTGAATCGAATAGTAAGTAGGGGGAAAATATAAATTAACAATATCTAACAATTTTTGTTATTTAAAGATACAAATGGCCTCCAATAAGAAACATTGGACTAACACAATGTCACTTTGGGGTTTTGGGACAAAATTCCGCATATGAATTCCCAGCTCTAACCACTCTAGAGCCTTAAATCGCTATCTAATTTTGCTATGACATGCATTTGTATTTTAGGCCACACTCGAGGGTGTCACATTTTGTTTTTTTCGCCACATTTTCGGCATATTTTCATTAGATTTTTCTTTACACTATTCTACTTGCCATTAAAATCTAATGAAATTAAGTTAAATCATATTTGTTTTACGCTTTTTATTTCCTTTGCAAGCTAAAATGCATAGTAATTATTAAATCTAACCAACCTAGTATACGGAAGAATTGGGACAAAAATAAATTTATCAGTGAAGAGCAATTATTAAGTCTAACGATTTAATACCAAAAAATATATATCAAGAATTTTTTCTAAAGCTATTTTAATGTTAAAAATCCTTTTTATCTAAAGTTTATAGAACAATAAAAATAAATACGCTTTAAAATAAATCTAACAAAACTGTCATAAGTATATAACGCACCTGATATAAATTATTTAGTATTTTCTGATGCTTTGACACGTAATCTTTGATAATATAGAGTCACATAGTACCCTCTAATATGCAAAGGGCAACGTCCAGAAGACGACCAGTTGGCTTACCTTATTCACTACAAGGGATACGTTTTTTAGCCTTCCAATGAAATCTACACCCCTCAGGTCGAATGCAAGGTCTAGCACATATTTCTCCGGAATTAAGAATGCAGGAGCACGAATACTCACCAATAATTTTTGAATAAAGATATAAAATAATTAATTAAAGAAAAGATTTTGTATAAGTAAATATAAACGTTTAGGTTAGACTTAGTATATTACATAAAATGTCCGATGCTTATCCAGAATATATCGAAGAATTTAGTATTGAGATATCTGACTATAATCCAATTGATCCTACTGCTTATATACCTTTACTTGAAACAATATCAAAACGTAATAATGGCATTATAAATATTAAAAACGATGATGACTGATGTTTTGGATGGTGAGTTTTAGGAATATTGCATCCAGTTAAGTCCATCCAGAAAGAAATCCACATCGGCTATAAGGAAAATATGTAGAGTAATTGAATATGGAGGATATCCCCATTCCAGTACCAGTTTCCACCCAGGTTTATCAAAAATTCGAAGAAAATAATCCAGAGATTAGTCTTTGTGTATATGAATGGCACAACCAAAATAAATGTCTAAAGTTTCGTTATATAACAGAAAGAAGGGGTGACGAATATAAGCAAGTAAATCTTTTAGTAATAACAGAGGAGGATAAAGCCATTACTGCATAATCAAAGATTTACACAAGCTAGTATTTAATCATAGTAAACATAAAGGAAGAAAATACCTTTGCTGATATTGTCTTCATGTATATTCTGAAAAAAAGTAAATAATGAACATTTACCAAATTGCAAGGAACTAAATAACGCACCTCAAATACCAAAAGTTCCTACAATGGAAAAAAGTATAAAGGAATTTAAGAATTATAAATGTATGCAAGCAAATCCATATCGCATATTCTGGGATCTTGAATGTTTAATAGAAAAGTTAACTCCAGAAGAAAATGCGCAATTAACACGTACTGAAAAGCTTCAAAGGCATAAACCTTGCGGATATAGCTATGTAGTAGTCGGTATGGATAGTTTTGGTAATTACGAAATTACAAGTTATGATTCATATAGAGGACCAAATGCGTTAGAGAGGTTTGTAGATAAACTTGAAGAGGAGTTAGCAGAAATTAAAGCAGATTTATATTACCTGCGGAAATAATTATGGAACCATGAGACCATATAACATTTAATGAGGCGACAGAATGCTGTGTTTATAAGAAACCCTTTATTGAGCCAACACCAGAAATTTTATAACAATTCGAAGAAGCAAAACAACAATTGTTAGAATGTAAAGAATGGGAGGTGCATATGAAATAAAATCATTCCAAAAAGAAAGACGTGCAAAAGAAATATCAACAAGCATTAAGTAATCTTAACCGTAAAGTGAATGATCATGATCATATAATTGGAAAATATAGAGGATCATGATGCATTTAATAAAAAGTTACAAATGGGAGCATTTAAAACTAAAATACCGCTCATTTGTCATAATTTTCGAGGATACGATTAGCATCTACTCATAGAAGATTTACAGCAGATAAGTTAAAGTGTATTTCAGAAAATACAGGTAAGTATAAGGTCATGGATGTAGGGCAATTCCGATTTCTTGATAGCTTCCAACATATGGAAATAGGTCTTAATAAACTTGTTGAGACTTTTGGCGGAAAGCTTGAGAAACTTCCTTTATCGGTCAAGCACTTCACTGAAAAGGGGTACTCGTTAGATCAAATCAATCTATTAATAAAACGAAAAGGCGTATTTCCCTATGATTGGACAAACTCATGGGACAAAATTGAAATAACGAGTCTTCCATGCCGGAAAGATTTTATTCTATACTTAACCAGCAAAATATTAGCAAGACAGATTATGAGCATGCGCAAAAAATATGGAAAAAATTTATGATGACAAATTTCGGAACATATCACGATCTTTATCTTGAATGCGACGTACTTTTACTTGCAGATGTTTTTATGATTATAAGATTATGTGATTACAGGATGATGGCTTGGATCCTTCTCATTACGTTTCAGCACCAGGGATGTTTAACGATTCGCTATACAAAAGTAGCGGAGTTAAAATCAAGTTGATGTCAGATATGGACGAGTATTTGACGGAATTCGCGGAGGCATGACAATGGTAAGCCATCGATATACTAAGGCAAATAACGAGAAATGTCCCGACTACGACCCTAGTAAACCGAAATCATGGAACATGTACAGTAATAGACAATTGTATATAGGATATATTTAAAGAAAAAAGATTATATAAGTAAATAAATACGCAACCGTTAGATATAACATGCATACATATAACCCACTTACTATATCGGAATTACTCGAAAAAATATTCATCAATCTTGAATACGGGGATCTTTATTCTTGTCTCACTGTAAATCGTCAATGGAGTCCAAAGGTATCACGAACTCTCTTCAACCGATTTCAAAATGATGAGAACAATTACATGGACCAACTAATGGTTTTACTTATGTAGGGATAAAGTGGAGAGATAGGCGTGAAATTGCATATAAAATTATAGCTACATATGCGTCTTGAAAGATCTAGTAAATTACATAAAAAATATTATAAACAATGGAAGAATCTTTATAGACAGGCAAGAATGTTTGAGAAAAGAAATGAAAAGATTTACCCCCAAATTTCTCTATCTTATTAGAGAATTCGGATTAAATAATTTAAGCCCCATCTGGAGCGCATTGATCCGTAAAAAACCTCTACATCTCCAACATTTTTTTCTACTGCATCTTCGATTCGCTGAGCTGTCCCTCTTAATAAGTTGATGGGTAATGTGTGTGAAATATTTATAACCGCGAAAAACCACATCACGTTATAATGGGCCCCCAGGGAGCGATGTCATGTGTTTTAATCCGCGAATCAGAGATCAATATAGAAATATTTCGGAGAAATAACATAGCTCGTGGAACATGCATATCTGGCGATAGTAAATATTTTATTGATCAAGATTGATAGGGACAAAGTCCCATTACTATGCAATAATGTGTCGTTTATTCTTTCGACGCAATTCTATCTCTTTCTGTAAATCAAGTGGAGTATCTTAACCGAATTGCGGATCATCCTCTGACCTAGTAAGATCAAGTACAATAAATTCATTTTTTCGAAGGTAATTATTAATAACCATTGATGCATTTTTTATATCATCGGTATAACGACCGGCTATCTTGAAGAGGAAGGATTACTACCATAGATTTGTCAGACTTGGTAGGTAAATTTTCCGACACGCGTCATTACTAGTCATGTGACAGGCCTAAATTATAAGTTAATTTGATCGGTCGGTCTCTGTGTGACTGTGCTTTTGTTACCCGTAGTTTTTTATACTGCACCTCGTGTTTGTATACGTCTTCTCAACTTTTAGGTATATATATTTTTGTAAAGCAAACAGGCTAAAGCCGTTCCCAAACTATTGATGCGCTATATCTTTTATCCGAATCAGCATCTATAAAAATGACATCACAATTATCACGGGAATATTTCTTAGATTTCTCGAAAATAACTCAGCATGGTCTTACTAAAGTTTCTCAAGTATAAAGAGGGAACCGAAAGTTTTATGTATGAAAAAGATAAGGAACATATATTGTACAGAAGTGCGTTGATAAGCCTTTCCAACGAGCAAGCTCAAACATGTCTTCTCACTTTTGAAGTTAAGTATTTGAGATGTGCAATACACAAATAACATCTAGGTTCAAGGGTTAGAATATGTTCCGGTCTTAGCACATCGTGATATATTTACAATCACCAAGTAGCCAGCTGAATTCATTCTAGCGGATGAGAGAGGAGTTTGTCTTCCCTCGGTGCCCTTGAATATACTATACGTTAGTTGCCATAACGCAACAGATTGGGTTTGTCCTAATTGATTGTCAGGCTTCATGCTATGTTATGGTCCAACTCAATCGCATAAGACAATTCTGCAATTAAAAAGTACTATTCAGTCTTATACTAACCAATATACATTTATTTTAATAAAAGAGGGAGAAAATTTCTCAAAGTGTTGAGAATTTTTGGAATGGGATTTGAACTTTCTTCTTAATTTTTCTATCTCACTATCATAATCAAATTTCTGTTTTGCTAATGTCTTATTAATCATTTTTTGAATATCAGGTGATTGCGAAATTACTGGAGCTTCTTTTTTAGGGTATAGGAAATTGTTGATAAACTTTACCTTCATTCAAATTTGGAGTATATTCTAGTTATATATTTTTTAATTCAGTAAAAAATACATTAATACCAGCTGGTTTAGCATTTTTTTTTCATATACAGGGGGGTATAAAAAGTATTGGACATTTTTGTAATATGTTATATAAGATAACCAACTTATAAACTTTTGTTTTTTTTTTATCATATTAAAATACAGACCAGTATTTCATTTGGCTTCCATTTGTTTCAATAATGGCTTGAACTTGATGTGGCATAGACTTTATCAAATTATAGTAGTAATTTATAGATACTGCATTCCACTTCTTCTTAATCCACTGTTTCAATTGCACAACATTTAAGGGTTGTGAATTATATTAATAAATTCTAACTTTAATATGTGATCAAATATTTTCTATTGGAGTGATATAAGAGTTTTGTGCTAATTAGAGAAGTAGTTTGATATTTAAGAAGGTCAAAAAAGAAAGTGCAACTTTTGAGGTGTGGATCAGCACATTATCTTTTTTGAAAAAAAAATATTTTTTTATTTTTTTTGCATGAAGTTTAATCATAGGAACTGCATAATTAGCCAGGGTCTTACAGTGTGCCATTTCAGTAATACAACCAATCAAAGAAACTAGAGAACCCAAATCAACCCATAAGAAACATTCTCAAAACAAGTGACCAAAGCTTTTTCTAATCATAACTGCAATACAATCCTTATGAAACTCTTTAGAAGTTTTATACTATACATGTCCAAAACCTATAGTTCTAAACTATGTATATATAGATTCATCAGATCAAAAAATTTGTTTAAAATTTTCTATTGTCCAATTTTCATAAGTATGGACCCACTGCAAATATTTTTCTTTATTTTTCAAAAATTAATGGCTTAAAATAAGAAACATATAAATAAAACTCTTCTTGAGCTAATTTATTCTGAATAGTCTATGTAAAAATAAATATATTAATGTTTTTAATAAAATTTTATTATATTTGAGAAAGGATTTGACAATAGATTTTTTTATTTTAACTACTAAATATTTGAGTTGTTCATATGTATATTCATTAAGAATTTGTGATTGATCTGTTTATTTCTTAGGAAGTTTTTCTAACTTATATGATTTTTATACATGTATTACAGAAGAACAAGAGCAACCAACAACTGCAGAAACCTTACTATTCATATATCCTAACTTTTTGCTGAAATAATCTCTCCTTTTTGATATTTAGAAAGTTTTTTTTCAAGATATATTTTATATGGTAAATCTTTTTACAATAAAAATATTTAATATGTTTCATATACCTATGCAACTTACTGTTGTATTCTACAATAATATAATTTATATCAATTATAAATTATAACTATAAATAATTATAAAAAAAATTGTGACCTAAACTGATAATAATATTACAATACATATTTTTTTTTATATTATATTAAGTATCTAATACTTTTTATATCCTTCTATATAAAGCTCACCTAATAATTAATTTTTAAAAAATCTTAATATTTGTATATTATTATCAGCTGTTTCTAATAATAGTAACAAAATTATAGTTTCATAAATATCAGAAATATTATTTACTGTATTTGAATTTTTTTTTAGTCAATTTTTGAATTGCAGATTGCTTACTTTCTATTGTTTCTTTTTGATATTTAGTATTTAAATATACTCATAATATAGTAGGTATATTTACAGCAAAATTATTATGAATAAAAAAATTATTAACTGGTTTAAAGCAAACTTATTTCTTATTTTATTTTTTAAAATATTATATTTAATACCATTATTATAATCTCTAACATTTGTATTTTCAAGAGTTATTATTTGAGATATTGCAATAGATCATGCTTGTTTTAATGTATTTATATAATTATCAAGTGGTATTTGGCCTATATATTGTAAAATTAATTAAAAAGATTGATATATTAATTTTAATACTAGTTGTTATCTATCTTCTATTATATTTTGTAGATTATTTTGTAACAATAAAATCTGTCTTTACAAATTAAAAATTAATTGCTCTGTATTTTTTTTTTAAAATAAAAGGTACTAGATATATTGATTTTTATTGAGAATTTATATCCAATATTGCAATTATATCAAAGGTTCATTTAAGTTAATCCATTCCTATCATCTAATTAATTCAACTATACAAACTTATCACTATGGAAGTGGATCCATATGCTAGATAGGACAAATTCAGGAGGTAAAAAGTCCTACTGCCAGTTTAAATCCATCTTCCTGCTAAGTTCTAATTTGACAACCTTGTAGCTACTTGCTATTAAAGATTATATACCTTGCAAGATTAATTAGAACATTCAAATAACCCAAATACTTTTCACCTAGTCCCTTAAAAAAGGTACTTATACTCCTTGTTCCATCTGCAACTTCAAATTTTCTTTAGAAATTCTCTTTTTTTAAACAAATACCAGATTAAGATAGTCCTAGGTTAGAATGTTTTTTGTGCTATAGAGTCTGCCATACCAGAAAAAGTAATTTTATGAGCTTTTATTAGAGTTAAATCAGAAGTCTTTTCTTATATAACCTTTTCTGCTTCAATCTGTTTTCAGCCCATGATCATCAAAAAGATCAAAGGTCCTATTTTCATATAGCTTAATTGAATTTGGTTATGATTTGAATATTTGAATATGATATTCATAGAAAAATTAGTAAATCCACAAATGAAGATAATTTTTATATATTTTGCTTCTTGTAAATATTGAACTAGAAATATGTATTTGAAGACCAGGAAATACTACCCATTGTATTATTGATCTACTGATCATATTGCTTTATATTTTTTATTTTATTTTTTTACTTTTTCTATTTAATATCAAGTTTAATATTATATAAATATAAATTATTTTCTAATCTATCTATTCTAATATAATATTATTATATTCTAAAAATATTACTAACATAATACTCTTTTATTATTATATATTATAATTATTAATTAA